TCCCAGCCCGGCTCCGAATATCGCGTAAAAAGTCTCTCCGTCTTGCCGTGAATTAAGCACCGACAGTCTCTTTCTCGTTGCCGTTTCGTTTGCCGTTTCGTTTCGTTACCGTACCGTCTTTCCGTTACCGTTTCCTTTGGAGATACTGACTATTTGCTACCGTCTTTCTTACGACACCGTTTTGTTACCGTTCTTGTCGCGTTATCACGTACCGGAGTACCGTGGGTGAATGTCCGCGGACGGATTTTTGCTCGGGAACGTTCTCCGCGAGACCGCTGTTACCGCCAAGTTAGCGTCTCGGCGAGAAACGTGAAAGCCCGCGAAAATAGCCGTTCCGCGACATCTCATTTCTGGCCGTTAGGCTACCGTCGTTCAAAACGTATTTATTTAGCCTTCACTGGCCGCGTCGGATGGTCGTAATACAAGTCATTTGTTTTGCTGAATATCGTCGGATCAGCTGCGAATTATCGTGATCGCGTTTCCAAAATTTCATACAGTTACCGAAATTTGTTCTCGTTACCGATTGATTGGGGCGAATTGCCTTACTACCGTATTAAACTATTTCCGCCGTATCGGCTCAGGCCGAACGATCTACGCATCTTTACCCTTGTAACCAAATTGTTGAAATACATTATTGTCAAATCTTACTCATTGAGTTGTCCTTGTGTTCGCCTCTCACTCCAGATATCTAACGTCAAATAAAAGAACTGCGCCCCTCTGCTATATACTGAGCGGGGAGCGGCCGAGTGTTTTAGAGAACTTGAAGTTGAAGTTACCGATACCGCGGTGCGATTACTCGCACCTGGCATCTATTTCCGGTTACCGATATCGCGTGAGTTCCCTTGCTCCCGAATTTTGCGGAGTACCGCGTGTTACCGAATCGTGCAGTTATTGCCGATTTCGCGAGTTACCTTGCTCCCGACGAGCGTGGAGTACCGCGAGTTACCGAATCGAGCATCTATTTCCGATACCGCGAGTTACCGAATCGAGCATTTATTGCCGATACCGCGAGTTACCGAGTCGTGCATTTACTGCCGACGCCGCGTAAGTTATCTAACTCCCGAAGATCGTGGAGTACCGTGGTTGCCAATTTCCATTGGGCTCCCTCGGATCTGGCGTGATTCCGAGGCTAGTTCACGTCGCAATAGTTAGTGTGAATTTAATATTAATCATTGACATCCATATTTGAAAAGTTATCTTAGACTTTTTTGTTACGCATTTAATTATGTAACCAAGTTTTGATTGTTGCTGCAGAACGATTTTTCAAAATGTTTGTTCGTGTTTTGAATATTATTTTGAAACCGTGTGAGCTTCGGCGGACGTGGAGTAGCTCGCCGGAATCCGGGTTTGTTCGGTTGGGAGTATATCAATAAAATAAATGCTCGTTTGTAACAAAGTAAAGAAACAACGTTTATTAATTAAGATGTTGAAATGACTTGCTTCAAAATGATCTGCTTCAATGCTCGTGTGTACATACGAAGCGTGTGCAAAGCGAATTCGAAATAATATACAAGTAGTGTGAGATAAGTAGAAAAGTATCGGTGCGATCGGTATAATGACAACGGTGAAATAACTATTAAGCAACGGCGAAATAATTATTTAAAGCGGCGTTAAATAATCGTAAAAGTATCGGTGAGATTGGTATAAGCAACGGTGAAACAATTATTAAGTAACAGCGAAATAGTTATTAAAGCGGCGTGAAATAAATACAAAGCAGCGTGAAATAAATCTGAAGTATCGGCAACGGTGAAACAATTATTTAAGTGAACGTGAAATAACTATTAAGCAACGGCGAAATAATTATTTAAAGCAACGGTGACTGAATTATTAAAGTTCGACGTGAGGCGTCTCGGTGCGATCAGCGAGAGCGCAAGCGCGGATGATCGTGTCGTAGCGGTTGGTACAACGCAACGCTCGTCGGTGAGTGCGTTCGTGACGGTACCGCGAGTCCGTTCGATCGTAGATCGTGACGGGTCGTTCGACGGCGCGGATTGGACGACGTAGTTTGCCCGCCGGATGGATTCTGTGGATGAATCCCGGTGCGCGGTAATGCAAGATGAGGAACAGGACGTCGAGTACGCTCGACGGGAGTACGAGGACGCTCGCACTAGAGGCTTTGAGGCCGAATCTGGTCGGCGGACGTAAGAGAACGCTCGTACGAAGGCGGATTTAGAGCGGCGATTTGACTAAGTATAAGGGAATGCCCTGTATACGAAGATCGATGCCCGGAGGAGCCGAGTACGCTCGACGGGTATACGAGAACGCTCGTATCGGAGATAGCAACGGTACCGAGGACGCTCGTCTACCTGGAATAAGGCATAGAATCCGAGTACGCTCGGCGGACTACGAGAACGCTCGCAGCAGGATTGTTCGCTGTCTAGCAGCGAACAGGATCTGGTGAGAAGACGTACAGCCGGGCCTCTTTTATACCCGGCTGGCAGCCGACTGGCTTCGAATCGGCAAGCATTGGCGGTTTCGGCGGCGAGCCCCCCACAAACGGAAATTCGGAACGGTCGGGTGTGGGGGTCTTTTCGGCGATTGACCGCCGTTGTTTTCGATAAAAGTTTATCGGCGCTCGATGCGCCCTTGGTGGGCTACGGACGATGGTCGGTCCGTAGCCGTAACGATGCAGCTTGCGGGCTGCACCGTTACAATTTCATTGAAAGATGGTAAAATACTTTTCCCAATATTTTCTCCAAATAAAAATAAAGCAATTTTTTTTTCTTCTACAGTCCAACGTTTTCTTGCAGTTTTTCCATAAGGTGGAGCTAAAAATGTAAACACATTAAAAATGTATTACTTTAATGTTAATATAATATATAATACCATATGTTATATTATATACTGCATTATATTAAACTGCAATGTTACTTTATTAAAAAGTAAATTGAAAAAACTAACTAGATCGCTTCTTCTTTTTTGAAGGTTCGTTGTTTGATTCAGATAAAGTATCTTCAAAATACTTTTTATTTTTAGCTCTTTTTTGTTTTAATTTATTTTTGCTAAAGCAATTTGTTAATTGTGAAGAATTGTTAGAATTGGTAGAGTTGTCTAAGAAATCTTGATTTTGATATATTTCATTCTCGTTAGTATTACTAGAATATACTCTGCAAAAATATAAATAATAATTACATACATACTGGACTATGTTCAATATTAAGTACAACTGTAAAATATGTTACTGTTACTAAATATTGTAATTTATTTAAAAATATATTTACTGTTAATACATTACCTGTTTCTTGAATATCACTTATATTTGTGAAAATATCTGTTGCGTTTTCTTTTATTACAAAACTATTACTAGTATCGTTTGCAGATGTATAGTGAGCTTTTTCTAAAATTTTGGACATGCCTAAAATATCAACTTTTGCGACTAGTTGTCTATAAATTTGCTTGTGAATATTTTCATGATGACCCATAAAATTAGCAACATGAGATACCTCATTTTCACTTAAATTAAGAGATACACATTTTGTAGCTATATGTTTACGTAAACTGGTTCCACGTGAAGCTACGACATTGTTTGCACCATATGCAGCAGAATATTCTCGCATTAACTTGCATGCTCTAAGATATATGAATTTTGTTTCATTATTACTTGGCATACCAAACAGATAGGGATTATTAAATGATACTCTTGCCAACTGTCGATATTTCAAAATTGTTTCTATTGATTCCGTCATCATTGAGTTCAATAAAACAGGTACGGTACGATTTAATATTTCACGTATCGTAAAGCGTGTATAATTGTTAGCTGCTTCCTTTGTGACGATGCGTTTCACACACCGTCCCTAAAGCACCCGACCGCCTGAAAATAGGCCCGACGCCTATGACGCCCACGAGCGCTCGCACCCATGCGACGTCCCAGCGTGGGGACCGCTCCCACTACACGACCGATACTCACAAGTGGGAGGCCCGAGCCAGGTGTATAAGCTGGCTTGGCCAGCATAACGACACCTGTCCTGATCCGAAATCCTGCCTATGCACTGCCTCAGGGAGCTCCCGAGGCAGTCAACCGCATCCCAGACAAATTTCCGTCGACAAAGAGAGGTTGCTCTCTCTTCGAAGCAAGGGCGCTCCCGGTGTTCGACTTTCCGCCATTCCCGCCGACGAAGAGAGGTTGCTCTCTCTTCGAAGCCAGGGTGCTCCCGGTGTTCGGCCTTCCGCCACTTCCGCCGATGAAGAGAGGTTGCCCCCCTCTTCGCGACCGGAGTTCTGCCGGTATTCTGTCGCGTAGAAACCAGCACCCCCGTACGTGAATTGTAAAGGCTCCCGCCTATCCTCTCGCAACGCGATTTGCGCAGCCGTGCAACCATTGTACATATAGGATAAGTTTTGAGTAATAAAGATTCTGAGTTATATCCGCTCGAGTTACATCAGCCTGGACTTCCCCTTTTCTTGAACCCTGACTTCGGCGAGCCGATCCGCGGCATCGAGAAGGGAGCCCCGTTACACCTTTTCTGATTTTTGTAATTGTTTGTACTCTTTATCTGTGTCTGTCATTTTAATTGAATTTTTATAATCACTTATTAAAATTCTTTCTAGTTCTCCTGCTCGCCTCCGATTAAAAATCTGTATAATAATCAATGTTACTTCAGATAGTGATTTCCAAGTATTAAATGAAAATTGATTTTGTAATATTTCCATGTTAGATGCTTTTTTTCTTCTAAATACTGATTAAATTTTATTATGTCTGATGATTGTGGAAGTTCAACCTTTTTGTATCTATTTTTTGTAGATAATGTTTCTGCAACGGTTTTGTTTACAGTATAACCATATTGCATCTCCAAGATTTTTTTGAAATTTTTGACTGTTATTTGTTTTTTTTTATCATGTTGCCTAATGCATTCCGTAATTAAAATCTTACACAATTTTTTTAAGCATTGTTCCTAAACATGAAGCATTATATGGCACATCATACGTTTCAGTATTTTCATTGTACTTAGCAAGAATGTTTACTGCATGTATGGCAAATCATAATGCTTTGGATCAAATAACATTTGTAGTTCTTTTATTTGTGGTTCAATTTCTTCTAATTCTTGTAAATATCGACCAAGAAGTCGTAATTGCGTTCGTATATGGTCATCTTGATGTTGTAATCTATGTTTCTGACAAAGATAATTGCCGTACAATATTATAAGTAAGTCGTATCTTATCAAATCACGGATATTGCCCTCTCTTATTATTGGAATTATTCTTGTTTTTAATTTGACACATGCCCGATTATGGACTGATTTTGCAGCACTTTGTGCTAATTGCATTACATTTCGAAATGTGTTTTGTTTTTTAGCACATAAACGGAAATGATGTCTAAGGTTATTTTTAGAGTAGTGTCCTTCACATTTAGGACACGGTAAAAAATTAGATTCCTTCAGCTTTGTTTTATTATTAGGCCTTCTTACTACAACCATAGTACCATCATTTAAATCTGAATGTGTATTAAATTTATAATTCCCTTTTTTTCTTAAAGAACCTATTAATGTTCTCCGTTTACAACTATTTTTGGGTAGTATCAAAAATTTCTTTACTTCTTTCATTAGCATGTTTTGATTCAAAGTGACGAGCAATTTTACTTTGCATAGTATTACAATAAACACAAAAATTATATTTTTTATCTCCTTGTCGTCCTCGAGATTCTTCTACATATAAATCGTCACTTTTGCAATAATTTGTTTTTTTCTTCTTTTTTCTTTCTTTTACAATGGAATCACTTTTAAATGAATTTTTTGATTGATTTCTAGATTTTTCATGACTTGTAGATTTATTTAAAAATTCTAATGTAGACTTGTTTGGCGATGATTTAGAATTATTAAATCGATTGGCAATTTCTGAAATTTCATTATTTCTTGTTTCGTAACTATTGTTTTCTTTATTATCAATGTATTCATCTGATTCAGTTTCATCAAATTCTTCATTTTGACTGGATGGAACGAAATTAGAATCATCATCTTCTATATCACTACCATGAGACTCATTTTTATTATTAATCTCATTAATCTCATTAGTTACATTTCTATCATTAATTTCATTCATTTTACTTTTATCATTGATTACATTAATTTCATTAATCTTATTTTTATTATTAATTACATTTTTATTAATTGCATTAATCTTTTTTTTATGTGGGGGCGATAGCCCTTCCCCCCCCCACCCCGAAGATGGAGAATCTTCTAAAGACACCCTCTGGCGTGCAATGTGGAAAAATATCCACTGCCAGAGGGTAGTGTGGGATTCGCCTGGGACCTTCGAATACAAAGCCGAGAAACCCCCAGACGCCTACTCACTAAACTCCACCCCCGTTGCGTAGCCATCAGCCGCCGTTACTGGGGGATGGCCGGGAACAGCGGCGCATTACATCCGGCCACCCCCCGACTGCCGGTTGCCCGGCGTCATCAGAAATGTGTGGAGGGAAGTCCCACGTTCCCCCCTCCACCCTTCGCGTAAAAACTCGTTGAGCCAACGCCCGGTGGTCCCGCCTACGGGAACGGACAGCGACCAAAGTTCCCCCTCAATCCGAGGGGGGGGAGTGGTCAAATACTGCCCGACCCGTAGGGGACCCTCCCTCACCCTTCCGACACCTCAGGCCCGGTTTACCCGGGGGTAACCGAGGTGCGGAGAGGGCCCGCACCTTCTGGGGCTGGAGGGGAGAGCTAGCCTTCTCCCCCCCATTACCCCTAGGGCGCTTTTTGGCCAGGGTCCGCGAGGACTGCGCCCTCGTGACCCTGGCGCCCTCGATTGGTCTGACCCTGCTGGGGCCCGGTTCTGGGGACCCCGCCCGCGGTGGCTCCCTTCCCCCAATATCTGTGAGGACCACACACGGAACTCGTGTGGTGGCCTCACCTCGCCCTGGGGGAGGAGCTGTCCTCAGCTTGGTGGGAGAGCTCGAAGGCGCAGGGGGTGGACCGGAGGGCAAGTCTCCTATCCCGCCCTGTGGCCCGCCTCTCTCCCCGCCACCGTACAAATAGGGCACCGGGAGGAGCGGTGACATGCCCCCCCTCTTGTGTCCCTCCTCGCCGCAATTGTAGCAGCAGAGGGCCCTGTTCACCTTGGACGGGCACCTCTGCTGCACGTGGCCCCGTGCTAGGCACCGGAAGCATTTCTGGCGACGGTGTGCCACCTTGTCGTGGTGCCAGGGCTCCCCTGGGTCAATGATCTCCCTTTCCGGATCGGGACCTCGGTCCCAGGATAGATTGGGGTGAGGCCAGTCGATGATCTCCCTTTCCGGATCGGGACTTCGGTCTTAGGATGGATTGGGGCAACAGGGGTCTAAGAGCACACCTTAGGAAAAGGAAGAACTCTGAATATAAAACCCGGACAGGACAGACTCGTCAGCCATGGTAGGCAACCGTCCTAATGGAAGGAAAACCATGAGTAAAAACCCAGAGAAGACAACTCTGTGAAAAATTACAATTGATGAAACACAATGACGACGAGGAAGACACCGTTACCGCCTCAGGGGATTCGGACCCCCAGAGGCCGGCGAGGGAGGTATCCGGTCCCGGTGCCCCCCACGTCGTCATCGTGCGACGGGCCATGCAGGGCGTGCCACGTAAGCGCCCTAGACGAACAGGTTACTGCGGGAGAAGACCTATGGGCCGAGGCCTATAGGATCTTGAGGATCCTTTTCATCCTCCTCGGGGAGATCCACGGGGGACGCGGACAAATGTCCGTAGGAGGGGGTAAACGCCCCGGAGGACAGGGCCCCAAACCCTTGCCCTCCAAAAAGGAGGTGGGATTGGTGGGGGCGTACAACACGCCTACACGCAGACCCGGAGAAGGGAGGGGCTGCAGCCCGCCCATAAGGAAAAAAATGGGGGGAAGAGTGATATTACTCTCCCCCCTTGATGTTATAAGTGCCTCTTACGGAGGCACGAGAGATGGCGGTGCCCCTTAGCGGTGGACCGCAGCAAATGCTGCCTCCACTGCGGGGCGCTGACCATCTCGCCGGGGCATGCTTGCTGAGGAGGGCGAACTGCCCCGAGTGTAAGGAGGCGGGCAGGAACGCGGCCCACCGAATAGGTGGCCGCGCCTGCCCGGTCGTCCCCCCGATGGGAAGACGCAGGAGGAGGAAGAGGAGGGAAAAGGGAGGAACAATTCCTCCCCTCGACCCCATTCTCGAGAGAGCGGAGGAGGGGGGAATAGGAAATCCCTTTCACCATCTCCGGTAAAGGAAATGGAAGAAAGGGGGAGGAAGGGATCCGTCCCCCTTCATCACCACCAAAAGTGATGGAAATAGAGGAAAAGAGGGCTGACTCCCCCTCATCATCCCCAATACGGGGTGAGAGGGGAGACAGCACCCCCACCGCCACTTTTGATGGCAGAAACAGGAGAGGAGGGGATTTATCCCCATAACCTCCTGTCTATGGAGAAGGGAAAAGGGGGGCGTATGCCCACCCTTGGAAGAAATGGAGGGAGGGGGGAAGAAGGCTATTCAAAACCTTCCTCCGCTTTCCCCCATCTAGGATAGGACAAAGAGGGTTGACGGGGATGGTGCTGATCCCTCATCAACGCCTCCAACACTACCGGGAGGAGGAAGCTCGAAGCCCCCTTCCCTTGCCCGAGCAGGGAACGGAAAGAAGAGGGGGGTGGAGGTAGCTCTTGTCAAGAGGATGAGAGTCTCCCCACCCCCCTCCCCTGAAGGGGAAGGAGGAGGAGAAGGGATAGGTAGCAAGGGAAACAACTTATGTTCCCCCCTCGCTGCCGGTGTGGAGAAAAAGGGGGATACAATCATCCCCTTCCTCGGGAGAGTCCCACTGCTGGGGGACGGGGAGGAGGAAGACCCTCCTCCCTCCGAGGTTGTCCTCCGATGGAGGGACACTTTCCCGAGGGGTGCGTGGACGATGCCGAAGAAGGAGTTCCGGCGTCGGACTCCACCAAATTGAAAGGATGTGGCTCGTCAGATAAGGAAAAGGTGTAACACCCTTCCGAAGGCTGACGCTGGCCGCATATCCTTTGGAGAAGCAGGGCAGGATTTGTCCCAGGATAACGGTTCCTGGTTAGTTGTCCTGTACACAGATGCGGACCGCAGTCATGTAACCGGGACTGCGCAAATTAGGAGGATGGCGGCGGTTGCCAGAGAGTTCCCACATTGGGAGCTAACATCGGTGGTCCGGTTCCTTGCGAAGCGGGCCCCGATCCCGAGGCGGCCTCCGAAGCCTGCCAAACCTCCCCCACCATTGGGGGAGGCTATTAGATACCTGATGGCCGGCCTTGGGGAGGACATGGACGAGATCATCTCGCTCCAGTCCTCCTCCTCTAGGGTCATGCCTAAGGGGAGAAAAAGGGGGAAGGAGGGAAAAGGGGCGGGAACGGAGGATGTTCCTCCCATCCCGTCCTCGTTATTATCCTCCTCCTAACCTCTCCAATAGGAGAGGTGAATTATTCCCCTCAATGGCCGGAGATGGGCTTTTATAGCTCATCCTCCTGATGGCCAGCGAGGGGACAAGGCGAAATGGGTTTCCACAAGATCGGAAACCCATTTTGGGCCAGTGGACCCAAAAGCAAGCCCGTCCGCAGGGAGATCTCACGAGCAGCCAGAGGGAGGGGGCGACGTATGCCGCTGGCTTTCCACCTCCCCTCGCATGGCAAGGAGGGTTCTGCAACAAGGGGAGTTTTTAATGGGTAGGTCCTCGCGGTGCCTCTGTCCTATTTAGTTAGGACAAGCACCGTGAGGGAATCCCACACTCCCCCGCAGTACGGGCTGCGGGGGGTCTTTCAAAAATTTTCTCTCCTTGCAAAAAAAAAAGGCACCGGAAGCATCGGGTGGGCCTGCTTTTAACCAGTTGAGTGGTAATGTATCATATGTACAAAAAAAAAGTGGTAATGTATCATGTATGTACATTTCTAAATAACTCCAGTAATTTTCAACAAATTTGCTAAGCAATAAAACTCGATATCCTAAGGTTTTTTGGGCTGCTGAATTCGAATCTGTTGTCAAAATTGCAAAATTCAAAATGGCGGATCCAATATGGCGACTGTTAATTGTTAAAAGACTAAAATATTGGAGTTAGGTAAAATATGTATAAGACCTTATTTGTGGAGCTTTTTATGAACTTCATTTTTTGTTTAACAACTTTTTCCGTACAATGAATACTTTCTGAAATAATTAACAAAAACAGTTTTATTTTTGAACCTTTGAGGGGGACTGGGGGGCGGAGGGGGCATTTGCGCCAAAAATCCATTTGGGAATATTATTTACTAGATAAAATAAGTATTTAGGCTGAATATAAGCCAAATCGGAGGTGATAGCTTTTCGGAAGTCCACCCCCCTTTTTTTATTCACCTCACTTTGACTGGAAAGTCGTAGTAAACATTTTCAAAAATCATTGTTCTTGTCTTGAAACGCCCTTTCAAATAATCGCCACTCGACCCATAGTGCTATTTAACATTTTCCACCCCTATTCTGCCCCTCCCTCCGCCTCCAGAGCGTGGAGGAGGGGATTCACACCCATTTCGAAAAGTTGCTTTTTCGAAAACTTTGAATCCATCTTTCATCGTTTTTCGATATTTTAACTTTTGGCTCTTACCACTTTTGGCACAAATCTTTCGGAAAAGTCTACCACTCAACTGGTTAAACAGCTCCACCCGTACGGAAGTCCATCCGATCTAGATGGCCTCAGCCATCGATGCCTTTATTGCAGTCTTCGCAGGGCATTGCACCCAGACGGTCCTCACTCGCCGGATGGCCGGGCGTAGTGGGCTTAATCGGATCTCCGGTTTAGAGCATCCGCCTATGCTAACAATAGCTCGGTGGATCTCCTCCCTGGAGACGGATTCTTCGACCTCCGTGAGACGGAGGTCGAGCTTTTTGGAGGGTCGGGAGACCGTGACACTCTCAAACACACGCTCAAATATCTTCCATTTTCCAAAGTTTGAAAAAAAGACAGCTTGTTGACTTTGCTCAAAGCTACATGCGGCATTCGTCATTATATCTTGAATAGTTCAATCATTGGATTCGTACCAGCTCATGCGATTAGACAATTGTTATCGTTGCGCGAGCGTATCAGTACAAGTTCATGACGCGCGTTGATTCCAATCCGCTTGTAGTCCTCACAGAATCCCGAAAGAGTATTAAGCGGAATGCAAAAATTAAAATTTCCAGTGGTCAACGGATATCCAGTAGGATTCCATGATGCGTATTTCAGCGTCTTGCTCTTCTCCGTCGTCAGTGATATAGTTTTCGATCGTGCTCGTTATTCCAACGTTACGATCGATTTCAACTCCGTCGAGCTCGTATCACATTTCATCAAAACATGAACGCGACATAATTATTTCTCATTACACAAGTTATCTCTAGTTTCATCAGTAGGAGCCGTAACGAGTTTTCCATCAATGTAAAGAAAACTCTCACACTGCGTGCAATGTGTACAAATCCTGTTGCTGTATAGATATTTGTATCTGTTACAAGTAGAATTTTGTGTTTGGCGCCCTCTCGGCTTGGCGCGTGACAATCGGTGCGCATGGGCGTCTGCTATGCAATATATATCCGGGCGTAGTAATACTGTATCTTTATTATTATCTTTTTCGTAGTTCCTTTGAGTAGTATAGTTATCTTTCCTTGAACTGTATTTTTGTACTTTCAGTGTATATTATTATTATCAGTGCGATACGTGTATAAATATAAGTTTTTCTTTCTTGATATATATATACGATAGTTATTCTGTGCAATTCCTATCAGAATAGGTTTTGGGCCCAGCACGCTTCCACTGCGCCATAAAAAAGCTCAAATCTATCTAAGCAAGCGATACATGCACGCAGTGATGCGATATCTACTACCGGGCTCGCGGCTCTCGAGCCCCAACACAAGTAAGAAGCGCTTACGTCACGCGTCTGTGTGCGCTCGGCCGTTCGGCTATAGAGAGACGTCTCTGTCTTGCTACCATCGAGCCGACGTAAACACATTACGGACGGCAAATGCTCAGAAACAAGCGCTTTTAATCGAGTAAGGCGAGTAAGGCCTAGCAAATTCGAAATCCCGTATTCGAGACTTGATTTTTGCAACTTTTTTTTTCTTTTTTCCACATTTGTTTCTAACAGTGTAAGTTAGTTAATAATGTTTTTTGGCTAAAAAATATTATTTCGTATATTAATAATATATTTGCATATGTTAAATTAATAACTAATTATTTTAAAAAAGAATACTGATTTGCTATTATAAATAGAAAAATGAAGTCATTTTACAACATACATATTGCAACAAAGTGCAATTTAACATGTGCAATTATTGTTAATAAATATAAAATAATATTTTTTAGCCAAAAGCATTATCTAATGATTCACTTGATGGTACAGTGCTAAAAACAAATATCAAAAAAGAAAAAAAATGTTACAAAAGCAGTTTTCAAACACAAGATTTTCAATATTCCTGCCACTCGCCTTAATCGATTAGCCACGCTTCTTAACATTTATCTCTATCGAAAGATTACACACCTGGAAAATTTTTAACTATTTATTTTAAATTACTGCATATTAGCAAGAGTTACTGTACTGTGGAGATTAGTGGAGAAACGGTAACATACAATGCAGTCAAATACATCTTACAAATGCAGTCAAATAGATCAAAGATTCATTGCACTCTTGTGATGGACCATCATCTGCAATATGTAACGTTGTATTCCTTTTTATTTTCCCAGGACTACTGGCGTACAGTGTCTTTGCCGACATCAAAGACAAAT